CACCAGTACCGGTAGGGTATAGAGGCTGGTAGAAGATCATAGGGGGACGCACAATAGATCAAACTGGTCGCGGTGCATGGGGAAACCCACCCCCTCCAATAATAACAATAATAAGTAAGATTAAACGCATGCATATCTACGGAAGAAAAAAGCGTGTACGATTACAGTAGTTTCGGGAGTACCGAGAGCGTTCCATTCATATACTTAAGCCATTCTAGAATTTTGTAGCTAATTTAAAATCCAGTCTCTAGGTATCATACAGGAATTTCGGGAAATATTAAGGATTTCCAACCGAAATAAGACTTTTTAGATGACTCGAAATGGACGTATGTTAGTCTGACATATTTTTATTGGCTAATTTTAGTTTATAGTCCTCAGTCCCAGTCTAATTCCTTCCTGTTTCTGTATCTGCTTAATGCATGGCTTTTACTCAAATGTGCCTTCTATGTAGTGATAATAGTTGTAATACTGTATCGTACGCATGACAGTGTTTGCAATAAAATCTTTTACATTTTGTGTGTTTTTACGCAACAATGTGTTTGTTTAATTTTAATTTGCTTAAGAATGTTATTATATATACGCTGTCATTCATTTTGCTGGCTTCGTTATTTTTGTCGATGTTTAAATAAATACTCTGCATATTAAAATATTACATATACATATACCAGTGAGAGCGAGGATTGCTCAGTCGGTATAGCGACTGACTACTGGCTGGACGACCGAGGAGTCGGAGTTAAGCCCCTGTAAGGTGAAGAATTTTCTCTTCTCCATGTCCACCAGACCGGCTCTGGGGCCCACCCAACCTCTTATCAAATGGATATCATGGGCTCTTTCCCAGGAAATAAAGCGGCTGGAGCGTGAAGCTGACCACTCACCTCCAGCAAGTGCTGAGGTTAAGAAAAATGTGGATCTATACATCCACTACCCTATACGCCTTCAAGGCCTACTGCTTAGTTAGTTAAGCACAGTGACAATTTTACTTTCTACCTTTGTATATTATCAGTAAAAATGAGATATCTTGTGACCCGAAGGTGGTTCCAGGATCAGTTAAACTTCAGATACAAATGAATTACTTATTATTAAAAGGACATCATTTGGTAATTTCGACATATTCACAGTTTTACCGTCCACGTTCCTCAGACAACATCCAGAGCACATCTGTAGATGTACTGCATCCATCAGATATAGCTCACTGTTTTTATACGTTATTTCCGAAATGGCTTGAGCTATTGGCCGATCCCTTTCTCGAAACATTCTCTAACGAATCTCTTTCCAGTACCTGTCGTTTTGAGTCCGGTTTTGAGATTTCTGTTTTTAGTAAATTATTACTCCTTTATTTGCTGTTCACACACGCATGGAGCTGAGCCTTTCTTCAGGAGCCGCCAATTGTACAGCTGCTCAAGAAATTTCCAGCACTTTATCAAACCCGAAGGTTCATTACAGTGCTCAAAATAGCCCTCCACCTGTCCCTATCCTGAGCCAGATCAATCCAATCCATATCATCCCATCCTATCTCTCTAAGATTCTTTTTAATGTTGTCCACACACCTACATTTTGGTCTTCACAGTGGTCTCTTTCCTTCTGGCATTCCCACAAATATCCTACACGAATTCCTCTTCTCTCCATTCGTGCTACATGTCCTTCTGATCTCATACTCCTTGACTTGATCATTCTAATTATACTTGGAGAAGGGTACAAGTTACTAAGTTCCTCATTATCAGTTTTATCCAAACTCCTGTCACTTCATCTCTCTTCGGTCCAAATAGTCTCCTCAACACCCTGTTCTCAAACACCCTCAATTTATATTCCTCCCTTAATGTCAAAGACCAAGTTTCACACCCATACAGAACCACAGACACAATTATAGTTTTGTATATTCTAATTTTATTTGCTGTTAGTTTTCATAAATTTTTCATTTTATTAGAGTGTTTTAAAACAGAGAAGAAAGTGGACGACATTGGGTTAGTTTTGAAAGAGACATCAGTCCACGGGAAAAATAATATTTTCAATAATAACATTGTCTAATAAAATTTATTAAATTGATCGTTACTTTATTACATGATTTTAGTATTTATAAAACCAATTAATATTCCTCTAATAAAGTGGATGACACTCATTTGGTTTTGAAGAGGTCACGTATCAGGAGGCAAGAATGTCCTCATTGTAAGTAATGTTTTCACATAAAATTAAATAACATTCAGCGCTCAGAGAGAGAAGTTCATCCGAAAACGTAGGTAGCCTTAGAAAATTCCAGCAACCTTATACTCAATTTTTGTTTCTCGTATAAAATTTTGTTCCAATGACTCATAAAGTAAAGTAAAAAGTAAAGCTATCCCTGTAACAGGCCGTGAAGGCCCATAGGGTTGTGAGACGTTGAGGCTCCCACATTTTCTAGATAATCGGCTCAAAGGTGACGGTGAGGTTGTCACACTTACGCGCCCACCGCGCTTTCCTCCCCAGGAAAATTATTCAGTTAATTCCTGATACTCATTTCTGTTAGAGGTTGAGTCGACCCTAGGGTCATAGTGCCGCTGGAAGGGTTAGGCCAATTGAAAAATATTCAATGACCTCAACGGAGCTTGAACCCGCGACCTTCCAGCTTGTAACATAGTGCCTCAACCAACTACGCTACCACGTGCTCACTCCAATGACTCATGTCCTTTACAAAAATTGATTCGACCGAGATTAGAGATTTACATGGCAATGTGAATTAAACTTTAAAATGAAGTTGGAGGTAAGAGACACCTAAGGCGTCTTAACCCAGAAGGCCATAATCTCAATTCATATGCATCTGTGAGAATTGTTTAAATTAAACTAAATCTTTCATAACTTACATGTCTTTGAATGGCCCGCGCCATAGCTCAAGCGGTTAGTCACTGGCTTCCCACTGCGGCGGCCCGTGTTCGATCCCGGGTCTTGTCATGTGGGATTTGTGGTGGACAAAGTGGCGCTGGGGTAGGTTTTCTCCGAGTACTTCGGTTTCCCCTACCAATCTTCATTCCACCAATTGCTCCACAATCACCCTCACCTATCATCTGGCTGGTACAATAGGCCAGAAGTGGCCGCAGTACAAGGGACTTAGTCCCACCTCACTAGCAATAAAAACATGGAAAGGAATATATCATTCAAGAATCATTGACATTCTTAGCGAAACTGAAATCCATATTAATTAAAATAAAATATTTTCTTTCGGAAATTATTTATAGAATCTTTCAATAATACTATATTATAACGTAGATGGCCATAGCGTTGCTAGATAAGGGACCGGTAGGCGCCCCGCGACCAAATACAGACAAGGCAACAATATCTCAGTGTAGGAATGTTTCTGCGTGTTACTAACATTCCTCCACTGAGACACATCTTTCATTGTTGCCTTGTGTGTATTCGGTCGCGTGGTTTTTACGGGTCCGTTACGTAGCAACGCAATGGCCAACGACGTTACAATATTACATACAAATTTCTGAGTTAAATTTGACAGAATGTTTCATTCATCAGTAATCTGTCAGACGACAGATGTCTCTCTTCGTCTGATGCCTCCCCGTTGACCTGTCCAGCAAGGGAGGCCCTGCCAGTAGCTACGCTACCGCTGGTATAGCTCTCAGGGTCCTTGGCATACTCAAACCCCCTCACCACGATAAGGTGGAGACACCAACAAGGGGACAGAATATTTAAGACCAATAAATATCACTTGCGTTAGCTCAATGAAATACAGAGTGGAAGGCCCAATCAGTTGACGAAATGTTGCCCTCTAAGTTCTCATCTTCAACAAGTGCAGGACCGTCTAGATACGCATAAGTTGTTTCTGTGGCAATTGTGATAGTGGCATGAAGGAATGCAAATTTATCTCCATGCCGAAACCAGTAAATAAAAGTTTATGCTTACAAATGTTCAAGCTATTTATCCTGATTTCAGTCCATAAATCATTTGATTTAATATATGTATATATAGCCTATAAAATTAGAATTCTTGTCTAAATTATTTCCATTATGAACACCACCTTCATAAGAACCAGGATAGCGCAGTCTGTATAGCGACTGGCTACGGGATGGACGACCGAGGGTTCGGAATTTGAGTTCCGGTGGGATCAAGACTGTCTCTGGGGCCCACTCAGCCTCCTATCCAATGGATACAGGGGATAAAGTTGACCACTCACCTCCAACTAGTGTCGAGGTCAAGAAAATGTGGATCTATATATCCACTCCCCCATACGCCTTCATGGTACAGTATTTAATTAGTTAAACACGGGGAGAATTATCACCTTCGTATGCAACGTACTAAAATGCCGTAACACGTAAAAAGTTCTAAGTCATTCATGCTTTTCTCGTGGACTCTCAAGGAGGTCGGATGTATCTACATTCAGTTTTCTGAAGCTGTGAGGAAAGCGTTAGGCTGATATTATGTCACATTGCAGAGTATTCTTTGGCTCAGGATAGGGACCAGTGGAGGGCTCTTGTGAACACGGTAATGATTCTTCGGGTTCCATAAAATGCTGGGAAGTTCTTGTGTAGCTGCAGAATTGGTGGCTCCTCAAGAATGGCTCAGATCCATGAGTGAGTTATTATAGAACATTTTCGACCTCAACACTGCCCTTTTCGGCCACCACAAAATTAAAACTGACACCTAATTGTGATTTGTCAACGCGATAGAGTAGTTGGTTGAGGCACTATGCTACAGGCCGGAAGGTCCTGGTTTTGAATCCGGATGAGGTGGATAATTAAACTGACCTAATCCTTCCAGCCGGACTATGGCCCTTGGGTCGACTCAGTCTCTAACAGAAATGAGTACCAGGATTCTTCCTGGAGAGTAAATGGTGGCCGGAACGTAAGGCTGACAACCTTACTGCCATCTGTGAGCCGAATATCTAGAGAAAAATGTGGGAGCATCGACGTCTCACAACCATATGGGCCTCTACGGCCTGTTGCAGGGATAACTTTACTTCACCAGTAATACATAGGCGTCCTTCCTTGGATGTGGCAGTAACTGTCTGTTCTGTGTTTCAGCTTGCAAGAGGAAAGAAGATCCACAGAACCAACCCGAGCACACGCCCGCCCCCAAGAAACCCCGATTGGTTTTCACCGACTTGCAGCGCCGTACTCTACAGGCTATTTTTAAGGTGGCTCACAGCGTTACGCGTTTTGTTTCCCTATAGCCCCCCCCCCCCAATTTTTCTAGCAAGACCCTAATCTATGTAACCGAGACGGAAACGAGAGTACTTGGTTTGTAAATAAATAAAACATCAACAGTGGAGCAAGAATCACAGAAAATGTATTGGTGCAATATTGGAAATTAAGAAAACTGGATAATCTCCTTAACTGGCACGATGGAGGACGTGACAGAGTTCGGTATCTCCAGCCTGTAGCTGAGGATTGTCTTCCTCTTGTAGGATCAGAACCCCTAAATAAATATCAAAGTGTTTTCTCGATGTACATATAATTTTGAAAGCAGAAAATTTATCATATATAAAATTAAAGCCCTTATTCATTTGCTGATCACAGTAGCCGCGCGGTCTAAGGCAATGTCTCTCAGCCGCCGTGACACGGGCCAGTACCGGGCCGCAGTCTGACGCAGGTTCAGAACCACTGGTCTAAGGCATAAACTGTCTTCGCCCGCTCGAACCCCGGGATCGTGGGTTCTAATGCCATAAGGCATGTCTCTCTGCGTTTATTCTCTTTCTGTGTGTAGGTAGCGGCCTTGTGACCGACTGATCCCCTGTCCAAGGAGTCCTACCGACTGTTTAAGATTAAGGAACTGAAGTGAAACAAAGCGCTTCAGGGATGCCCTATAAGCCAATTGGGAGCAACATGAATAGATAGATAGATAGATAGATAGATAGATAGATAGATAGATAGATAGATAGATAGATAGATAGATAGATAGATAGATAGATAGATAGATTAATTCAGTTCATTGGTTACATGGACCTAGTGAGACTGAAATTTTATATAAAGAAGGAAAAATAGAGTTTCCCAGCTGAAGAATTTCATTTGAATTTTTGAACAGAGCGGCTGATGTGTGAACATGGTAGAGCTTTCTGCTATTCAGTCTACGTTGGAACATTGCTTATTATTCGTACACCCTTCTGGGATATGAAACTGTGATATGTTTCCGTGCTCTGCTTTAGATGGAAGAGCAAGAGAGCGTGCCATGGATCTGGTTACAGATAAACCAGTATATTTGGCAGCATTTAGCCACACTTCAAAGTAATTTCACTTTACTTGAAACAGAGCCATAATGAATCAAACGAACACGGTCACCTCTTCATGTTACTTACTGTCAGCATAGAACTGAAGAAATGTTCTCACTTCAGGTATATCAAATATCGCAATCATGAAGCAAAAATTATTTTGTACCTTCAAGAACGCTGTGACATAGCGGCTATAGGGTATACTCTTGATATTAATAATATTTACTCTGTTAAAATTATCTAATACAGAGTTGGCATACCATTACGTGAGGAAGTAAAAAATTATGCCTACTGCAGTTTCTCCAGTTTATATACACAAAAGTAGAGGTTGAACATGTACGTTATTTGCTACGTAGTGTCCTTCCTTGTTGATGCACTTGGACCAGCGGTCCACAAACTTGCGTATTCCCTCCAAGAAGATGGTTTTCGGTTGGTCGCGCAACCATCTCCTTCCTTGTTGATGCACTTGGACCAGCGGTCCACAAACTTGCGTATTCCCTCCAAGAAGATGGTTTTCGGTTGGTCGCGCAACCATCTCCTTCCTTGCTGATGCACTTGGTGCAGCGGTCCACAAGCTTGCGTATTCCCTACAAGAAGATGGTTTTCGGTTGGTCGTGCAACCATCTCCTTCCTTGTTGATGCACTTGGTGCAGCGGTCCACAAGCTTGCGTATTCCCTACAAGAAGATGGTTTTCGGTTGGTCGCGCAACCGTTTATGCACCGCTTCTTTGTCCGTAGAAAATCGACGACCTCGTAAAGCATCTTTGAGCGGTCCAAATAGATGATAATCGGAAGGGGCGAGATCTGGGCTCTGGGCAGGGTGTTTCAGCACCTCGAAACTCATATTGTTAATGGTTTCAACGGTCTGGCCGGCCATGTGTGGGCGTGCACTGTCATGTAACAATAGCAACATTTTCTATGACTATAGGCCTCGGCGTTTGGTGCGAATTGCTGGCTTCACATTGTTGGCCAGCAAATCACTGTATCTTGCACTGTTGAACGTACACTATTTTTCCGGCAGTTTTCCAGCATAGGCCCTTTTGAGTCCCAAAACACGGTAAGCATCACCTTTCCCGCAGAAGATTGAGTCTTGAATTTCTTCTTCGTTGGCGATCCCGTGTGTTTCAATGCCATACTCTGGCTTTTGGATTCTGGCTCATAGTGATGGATCCACATATGAATTTCAGCCCCTGACACACCTTCCAACCAGAGAAATCTGATCACTCTTCTTTGTTCTTCCTTGGTGCACACTGCTAGTGGAGCGTCCATGTTTACACTGTCACAGCATCAAGGAAAATGACGCGATCAAGGTCAAACTACGATCACATGACCACAATAGTACCAATTCTATGCATCCTTGCGCAGAAGGCAGTGGGACAAACCTAAGATGTGTTATGGCGAAAGTGCGGATAATTTCTGACTTTCTCTCGTGTATACTTTCGAAAGAAGAATAAATACAATTTGTAAATAATTAATTTAAAAACATCTTATGTTAACCAGCCTTATATGAATATCTTAATTTATTTAAGATCCAAGGCACATGGCTTTTGTTGGAGCAGGAAGTAATATATAACCACCACAGTTGAGATTCTCATCAGCGTGCAGAGATTCGAGACGAAACCCCGCACCGCAACTGACAGGTCCGACATACAAAGAAGAAAGTAAATATAATTTGAACTCGAACAAATGGAATGATTGGATGTTTCCATTTCGTTGGCAATTCTGTCTCACATCAAATCCAATATACATGTTTGTTCTCAGTAAGTGTTCCACGCTACTAAACACCTGAATAATAAAGGAAATAATTAACGAATAATTATTTCAATATCAGTTTCATAATTTCATTTCCGACGTAATAGAGCAAAGCGAAACGTACATGAAATGTTGTTTCTCGTAAATAGCATCCAAGTGGCCAACACCGTGGTCAAACGGATATCAAATTCTGGTTTCCTGTGTTTGAGGTTCTCACAGATGCGTCTGTAAAGGCAATATTCCCCAAATTATAATTTGTTCCTACAGCAGGGCAAATACGCACTCAGCTGCTACTTATGCGTGATATTTAATATATTTCAAGAAACTAAATTATAGTTTAACCGTAATAATATTGCGCTGAAAATTATTCATCATTACAGGTACGCATATAGAAGTATATACACATATGTACATATGTATTATACCCATATGTGTATGTATGTATATACTTGTGTATGCTTCGAGAGTTGATTCCTTTCCCGTTCTTATGTGATACGTTATTATTAAATCGTTAGATTTTTCCTATTGTGATAATGCTGACTGGGACCGTTTTAAAGCTAGACTATCATTCTAACCACTATAATCTGGTACACAACCACTAAAATATGGTATATTATAACCACTAGAATCTGGTACATTATAACCACTAAAGTCTGGTACATTATAACCACCAAAGTCGGGTGCATTATAACCTCTAAAGTCTGGTTCATTATAACCACTAGAATCTGGTACATTATAACCACTAGAATCTGGTACATTCTGACCACTAGAATCTGGTAATGTTATATTTTATGTTATATGCTCTATTACGTCGGAAATGAAATTATGAAACTGATATTGAAATAATTATTCGTTAATTATTTCCTTTATTATTCAGGTGTTTAGTAGCGTGGAACACTTACTGAGAACAAACATGTATATTGGATTTGATGTGAGACAGAATTGCCAACGAAATGGAAACATAAACATGAACAGAATCTGGTACATTATAACCACTAAAATCTGGTACATTATAACCACTAAAGTCGGTACATTATAACCACTAGAATCTGGTATATTCTGACCACTAGTATCTAGTACATTGTAACCATTAGAGTCTGGTACATAACCACTACAATCTGGTACATTATAACCACTAGAATCTGGTACATTATAACCACTAAAGTCGGTACTTCATAACCACTAGAATCTGGTATATTCTAACCACTAGAATCTGGTATATTCTGACCACTAGTATCTAGTACATTGTAACCATTAGAATCTGGTACATTATAACGACTAGAATCTGGCACATTATAACCACTAGAATCTGGAAAATATTTTACTCTTAAGTATCCGGAATTTTATGGAAAACCAGCGCGAAACTAAGGATGCCAAATTTTATGAAATACAAGCCAAATATATTTTATCAAGGATAAAGTCGTGTAGGAATTGCCACATGTGACTTGGACCATGAAAATAAGCAACATTATATTTTCAAATAATACTGCATATGCACAACACGGAATGGTTGAATTGGATTCTGTCTTTATTCGAAAATAGAATGGAAAGTTTTGAAGAAAATTTAAAGTGTCGAGCAAAATGTCAACACAAAAATGATGAGGAACAAGACACTGAATAAATCAAATTTAAAGTCTGCTAAATGTACAAGTCTCGTCGAATCCGTAATTGCTCTGTATGAATATTCCATTTCTAAACTGATTAGAAGACTTCTACACGAATTTTAAACTTGATCGATGACTCAGAATGTTGTTGTGGAATTCCTCGCCCCCTTTAATGAAAACCTTCACGAAACTTCTGCTCCCTGATGTTTATTCATAATAAAAATAAAGTGGATTATTCCATTGTTTGCCGTGTATTTCAGTCTGAATAACTTTACTTGAAGATACAAATGGAACGACCATAGATGGTACGCCATTTTGCGGGCTGTGCAATGAGAGTATATCACGAATCTGCATGAGAATGAAGATATTGTTACGTGTTTCAGTGACTAAAGCGCGTGTTTGGATTGGTGAACCGGTTTATTGGATCTTCACTAGTCTTAACTACAATTACTCATTACACTCTCAAAATTACTGTAACCACAGCACATGTAACGTCACACACTAAGTCTTCTAATTCTTCTTCTGGCCACACTATTGTTCCCATGGAACTTCGGTACTCAAGTGGAGTAAGTT